TAAATATTTAAAAATACAGTCGACATTTATCTTTATATATATGCTATTTTACACATCCACTGTTTTATAATATCATAAAAAATAATATATTTTTATATATTTATGCACGTATGTATATACCATACATTACATACATGAGCATAACGCAACTGATTAAAAACTAATCAAAAACTTTTTAGTAATATTAACGATAAATCTTGTAAAGATTTTGCCCACATATTGGACAGTAAAATTACTTTAACTAATTGTGTGTGTGTGTGTGTCCAATTGCTATGCAGTATTTCTATATATAAAATATCAACAATAATACTAGATAGTAACGGGTCCAGTACAACTGCTTTAACTAATTTTATAAAGTTGCTATGCAGTATTTTGTATATTAAAAAAAACCAGTCATACTATATAATAACTGGTCCAGTCTTTAGTCAAACTGCATAAATTTCTACCAGGGATATTATATATGTCAACAATAAAACATCGCAGTTAACAATAAAAATCTTAGTTACATTTTTTAACAGTCAAAGTCCGAATTAAGCCACATTTAAGATTGACTAGTCAAAGTCCGAAGTGATATTTTTAGTTTCTAATTTTAATCAGCCATATTAGTTATTCCTAGGATTGGCTAAAAACGTACTAGTCAAAAACCAAAACACAAAACTATTTCGGACTTTGACCAACACGCTTGGTTGTTCCAATCCTAGGAACGTCCGCTCATCGGGCTTTGACCATAACATATATACATAATGGAAATTCGTCGAATTTTTATTTTGTACATAAAATTATTATAATTCTTTATTTTTATTATATATATTATTTTAATTCGCCGAATTTCTATTGTGTAAATAATTTTAATTCGTGCATTTCTATTATGTGTAAATTAACTGAATTTCTATGTTTGAATATATACGTACATAATTTTAATTCACCGACATTTTATTTCCCTTTCTAACTGAGAAACTGAAGTCGAAACCATTCAATCACAAAATTAATACACAATTATTTATCAGATTTTAACTATTATATACACCAAATTCTTTAATATACATTACTATCACTACACTAACCCCTCGATACATACAACTGTCAAAATATACAATGACAGCCGCTCACGAAGTAAATGCTATGAACCAATCGGCATCGCGGAAAAGGGGCAGCAATACTTCGAGATTTTCGAGATAAACCGATACATTCGAGAATCGACTTAACATGTCTTTTTTAAAGAAAGGATTCAACACTGTCAAAAAAATAAAAACCGATTTCGTTCAAGGTGTTTCACTCTTTCAACAGTGTTTCACTCTTTCAATATGGGTATAATTAAAAAAATGTAGGTCTTTTAATTTTACATAAACTATTAACATATTCAAAGCTCATCAAAATTTGAGAGAGACAATTCTAATTTTTGTATAATTTGTTTAACAATGATAAGATATAAAAATCATGTTATTTTATAATACTTTAATAAATATTATTTGTTATTTTATAGAGAGTCTCAAAGAAAGAGAGGCGACAACTAGTAATGTGATGACCTTGGCTGACATAATGTGTTTTTTAGATATTGCGACGCCAATGCAGAACATCTATGTATGATGTATGTGTGATGTGTGTGATTATGCCAGCCAATCAGGAGTAGGATTACTAGTTGTCGCCTCTCTTTCCTTCAGGCTCTTTATAAAATAGCAAATAAGATTTATTAAAGTATTATAAAATAATGTGATTCTTATATCTTATCATTGTTAAACAAAATATAGAGTTAAAGATCGCCCCTTAAGTACACAATGTTATTTCTTTATTAATAATTATTGAGCATTATAGATTGGCGCTGTTTAGCTTCACTTTACTCAAGAAATAATTACTCTTTCATTAAGTGTTATAGAAAAAAAATATTCAGAACTTTTTAACTTATTTTTTTTGGTAAAGAATAACGCTATATACTGGTCTTTAAATGATATTCTGTATATATGTATTTGCGATTAATATTTTAATAACAGAATAATTTTTGAATGTTTTCTGCAGATAACAAAGAAACGAAGAATCTATCGGAAAATTTTTAGTTATTATTTTATAATTGCATTTAAGATTCCTGATCTTATATTGATATTATATTCTATTATAATATCAGACATGAGAAATCACATATGATCAATATAAAACGCTTCCGGATGGATGCCGCGTGATTGAACAGCGTTGCAGTTTCCATCTTCAGGTATCAGAGCTCTCAGCCCTGAAGATGCAAGCTACAACGTTTGCGAAACATCGGTATTACGCTGTTTAATTACGCGGCATCCATCCGGAAGTCTTTTGCATTGATGATTTTAATGGCCGCGAAAACTAGAATCACATATGAATTTTTTTTTGTAAATTAAATCAAAATAAATAGAATATTATAAATGCAATTACAATAAATTAGTAAAGTATTCCAAAAATCCCCTTATTGATTTGTGAAGTAATTAATAACTATACAGGGGACACATACATACATAGTAAATTTTGATCAATCATTATAAGGTCTATTTTTGCCGAAAATGTGTAGAATACATGCAGTTGCATTATATATGAATTATATATTTATTAATGAAAGTAATTAAATAGAAAGTTTTCAGTGTATTTTAATCCACATCATTGTGTGAATATGAGAATCTTATTTAAAATAATTTATTTAAATAATTTAAGAGTTTAACAAGGCTCTGTAAATATAAATATAAATTTAAAGATATAAGACAGGCAATAAGAGCCAACTCGCGGATGAGAAAGCGTTATCCTAACAAAATTAAATTTTTTTGTTAGGATTAAGTATCTGTGCACAAAGCACCTAATTTTGCTTGGTCACGGTCAAGATTTAAAATATGAAATAATCTCATATTTGAGATTTAATTTCAATAACCCTTTCACCCCCCTACGGAAATAAGTAAATGCAAGAGAAAAATAGTTGGAAGAGCAGTCGCCCGGCAAGCGAAAGGTCTCGGGTTCGATTCCCGATTCAGCGACTTTCGGATCTATATTTTTCTCTTGCATTTATTTATTTCCGTAGGGGGGTAAAAGGGTTATTGAAATTAAATCTCAAATATGAGATTATTTCATATTTTAAATCTTGGCCGTGACCAAGCAAAATTAGGTGCTTTGTGCACAGATACTTAATCCTAACAAAAAAATTTAATTTTGTTAGGATAACGCTTTCTCATCCGCGAGTTGGCTCTTATTGCCTGTCTTATATCTTTAAATAATTTATTTATATATATTGCAAAAAAACTTATGATTTCTCGCTTTTGACATAATTAAAAACGATTATTATAAAGACAGAAGTTTTAAGTTGCATTCCACTATTCATTGCAAGTACTAATGGGATGACGTCATTGAAAAGTACTACGGATATCTTATTTTAATCAAGAGATTATAGTATCTCGCGCCGTCACGCAACAGTGAGACACTCCAATTATTTATCTGCTAGTCGGATAATTAAGAATATCTGAGATTACACAAATCTGCAAAATTAAATATTTTTTGCTGTCTAAACAATTAAGTAGTTTCTTGTAGTTTTTTGTGTGCTGAATCCGAATCTGCAAGCAAAAATTTCTTACCACAAAAGGTTTTCGAGAAATATGGAGTTAAAATTCCTAAAAAAATGCATTTTTGACCATCTTTGAAAATTTACTACTAATAAGTCTGATGTCTAAAAGACTTTTAAAAAGGCTCAAATTAAACCTCAAACCTTGTACTTTAATATGAAAATGTCAATTTTTTTAGTGCATACACAATATAAAATTGTATACAATATATTGTCTATATAGGAGATCGTTTAGCCATAGAAACTGCCCACATTCTATGTTTACCAGAGTGCACTACGTGAAAGCGGTCTACATCATATTGTTTTTTTATTTTTTTACTTTGTCTATTTTCAAAAATTTTTTTAATTTTATCTTTTTTGTATTTTTGTTTTTTTTCTTTTTTCCCTTTTTATTTATTTCTTCATTTTCTCTTTCTATGTATAACTTGAAGTATCGAGATAAAAGTTAAACTATACACCATTCCATACAAATCAACGACTTTTTTCCCCGACCATTTTTAACTTGCTTCATTTTTTATCTTTTGTATCTATTAAAACTTTTGAAAGAAGCTTCCATGAATTTTTTTAGATTTTTATTTTTATAATTTCCCAGTTATATATTTTAAAAAATATTGAATTTTTTAAATTTAAAAAATTTTAAATATTTATAATTTGAAGAAAAATTGATATATTGTCATTAATAAAATGATCATTTTTTTGCCTTTGAATTTTTCAAACAAAATATTGAAATAATTAAAAAAAGAAAATTTAATGGTGTTTTAGTCAATTTTAACCGAAATTATTTTTTTTCTCAATGAAACCCCTTTGATTTTTTTCATAAAAATGTATAAAATTTTTGACTTTAAAAAAATTTTTGAGCTATTAGTGTTAGTGTTCTCAAGTGAGGACCGGTGCTCGGCACGTATTGATAATATAATTAACACGTGTAGCTTTGTTTAAACTCTTTATTTATCTAACGAACATGCCGTACAACTTCGTCCGTCCACGTAATGGCGAGAAAACTAGAATCTGACTGAAGCGCCACCTGTTTGACGCTCACATAAATAATCAGACATAAGTAAAAGTTATATATATAGATATGAAAATAATTGATATAAACTGTGAACATAAAACAAAGTACATATATTATTAAATATCTATTGCATGAACATACTGCGCGTCTTGATATCTTGTGGGTATCAACATATGACTCAGTCAAAAATAAACTTAATATATATCGATTTCACGAATATTAATCAATTTTTTTTAATACTCGCGAAAGACTCAAAGGGAAGTATGCTTAATTTTACAGCTGGCCTTTTAAATATTCTTTTAGCTGTCTTTATGATCGCTGTTCTGACGACGTGATCTTCTTCGGGATAGACTTCCTGTACTCTATCCATGATCCATTTTAAGAGCAGTAACCCATCCTCTCGACATAGCACCAGCTGTGAAACTTTCAACTGCTCACCCCGATTGGTATGCCACTTAGTGCGTTGCTGTAGCTGCAACGAACTAAGTACTCAAGCGACCAATGTTTCCAAAAATGTTGGCGTATCTGCTCCAGCCGTTGCCATCGCAAGAGTCGATTTATCCTAATTTGCGTTATGTCTGGTTCAGGATAAGAGATTAATGAGCTTCCTACAAAAAAGTGACCTGAGGACAGATAATTTAAATCATTAGAATCTGATGAGAGAGCGCTTAGCGGTCTCGAATTAAGAATCGCTTCTGTTTGAGTAGTGAGTGTGGAGGCTTTCTCGAAGGTCAATGCTGCTTCCGATGCTACTTTGTAGAAATAATTTTTGAATAATTTGACGGCAGCCTTCCACAAGCCGCCGAAATGTGGAGCACGGGGAGGAATAAAGTGCCATTTTATTCCTTTACTAGAAGTCGTGTCAATAATTTTGCGTTGATGCTCTTCTTGATTGAATAGCTTCCTGAGATTCTCCAATTCACGATTGGCTCCAACAAAGTTCGTGACATTGTCCGACAAGATGTCGCTCGGCTTTCCTCTGCGACCGATGAATCGTTTAAATGCGTTGAGGAAAGCTTCTGTGATTAAGTCGGAAACGACTTCCAAATGTGCTGCTTTCGTGGCCATACAAACAAAGACTGCAACGTATGTCTTAATATGTTTGCTGTTTTTACGTTTTCCTTCGCGGATGTATATTGGTCCGCAAAAGTCTAGGTCTGCCGTGCTAATTGGTTTCGTAATTTTGACTCTTTGAGATGGAAGGTCACCCATTATTTGTTCTGATACTCGTGGTCGCATCTTGAAGCAAGTAACGCATTGGCGAAGTAATCTTTTAACTGTACTGCGCGCCCTGATCAGCTAATATAGTAGTCGTACCGCAGCGAGAGTTGCCTCAACTCCGGTATGAAGATTCTTCTTGTGTTTATGTTGAATAATCAGCTCAATTAATCTTGATTGATGAGGTAATAATATAGGATGTCTACCTTCAAATTGAAGTTCCGAATTTTTCAATCTGCCGCCGACACGTAAAATCTTTATTGATGAAAGGATTCATTGCTCTTATCTTGCTTTTATGCGAAATTTCGATGCCTTTTCGCAACACCTTCAATTCTTGATAAAGAATGTTTCTTGCTCTTTCTGGGTGAGGCATCTCTTAACGTATTCCAATTCTTCAACGGATAATGGATCTGAAACTTCAAAATTATGCTCCCTTTTACAGATGCATGCAAATTGTATGCAGGTAGCGGCAACTCGAATAAATAACTTGTTTAAATCCGAGAACTTGTCAAATGTATCAATATCCGCTTGTGTAGGCATTGATATGACTGTCAATTTGTTAGAGGCTTCGTGTAGCCTGTGACTCCTCGATGTATCCTCTATATCCATGACATCTGATTAAAACTGGATAACGATGTCCTCTTGCAACCATGACGGTCCGCTCCACCACAGTTGTGAATTAGTTAATTCCTTTGGACTGAAATCAGCTGGGTTTTCTTTGGTTCCCACGTGGTTCCAGTTGTCGACCGCGTTCTATTCTTGTATTTCGCCAACTCTGTGTGCGACAAAACAGGCAGCTTCTTGTTGGTAATCTTGATCCAATGCAGAACTATAGATAAATCCGTCCAATAGTAATATTTCTTGATGTCAAGCTCTAAAGCAGGTTTGATCTTGATAACTAGAAATGAAGCCGGTGCTGTTTTATATCAAGGTTACTAGCTCGAAAGTCTTGATATTCTCTGTTGGTAGATTTCTCCATAAAATGTGTTGTAGCGGGATTTGAGTCTCATTTAATAGCACTTGCCTATACATTTTAGCAATGTCTGCGGTCAGGGCATATTCGAAACTTCTAAATCGAAGAAATATGCAAAATAATTCTTGCTGCAAGACCGGACCAACCATTAAGGCGTCACTCAATGAAATTCCGCTTGTTGTTTGACTTAATGCGTCAGAAACAACTCTGAATCTTGTAGTGGTACTCGCAGTGATGCAGTAAATAATAATGTAAGCTTGTATCCTTTACTGGTGATGTGTTCAATGGAAGCTCTCTCATGTGCCATTTTAGATATTCGTGTACAAAATCCATATATTCTTTTTTTAACTTAACACATCGATTTAACTTGCGTTCTAGAATATGGAATCTGCTGAGTGCGATGTCCTTTGAATCGCTCAAATTCCGTAGTATTTCTTCTCTCGTTGGCAGAGTCACTATAAATCTACCTTCAGTATTGCGCTTGTAGTTTTACGCGAAGTGTCCCTCACATATACGCTCTTCAGGTGTTCATGTGCTTTGATGCTCTACACGCTCGATTTGCCAGAGGCGGGCGAGGTTTGAGTTGAGTTGTTTATTGATTAATAAATTACATATTGTAGCATTTCTTAGTACTTCTTGTATCATAAGACTACCAGAAATGACCCATCCAAGCAAAGTTTTTTGCCAGACTGGTTGATCGCTTGATAGTTTGATTTTGCACAATAGATCCAGGAATATCTCTGCACCGAGTAATAAATCTATGTCAGATGAACGGTTAAATTCAGGGTCTGCCAAAGTAATGCCTTCTGGAATTTGTAAATTGTGCATATTAACATGATTGACTAAAAGAGCTTGATTTTTTCAATTATCAGACAATCAAATTTAGCTTGAAATTTATTAATCCTTGAATGTATTGTCACTTTCGCAAGTTCACGGGTTTGTGTTGACAACTCACCCAAGCCGAAGATTGGTATGTTTCTAGTGTAGTGTTTGATACCTAGTTTCTTGACACACGTGGAAGTGATAAAACAAGATTGTGATCCGTTATAACAATGCTCGACAGGGCTTCAAAACGCTTTTCGTATCCAAAACAATTATTGCTGTAGTTAGGATTACTTGTCTATTTTGATTGAACGCTGCATGATTCACAGTTGTAGTTACTACATGTTCCTTTTCCTGAGGAGCAAATGTCTTCGGGACGTCAGATTTAGGCTGCTTGATCACTTGATCTAATAAATGAAGTAACGTATTATGACGCTTATTACATTTTCGACAAGATCCTGATGTACACTGCTTTGCATGATGAGATGCAGCCTTCAGTAATTTAGACACAATTTACGCGACCTTGCTTCTTTTAAACGCTGTTCTACTTCTAGCTCCAAATAACTAGCGCATTTATAGATAGGAAGATCAGCCTTTCCGCAATAGGAATACATGACGTTTGTTGTAGACGTGAGCTGCTGTGCCTTTATTTTTTCTGATTTGACACTGTATTGACAGTGCTTCGCTGATTGCGAGCTGAAGTTTCCGGAGCTCTGCATTGCTGCGTTAGAAGATCTGTCAATTGAATGTAGGTATCTCCTCTTTTTATGGTAGTCTCCCATTCCTTATTTATCATGTGATCCAGTCTACTCGTTACTAGATGAATTAATAGATCACTGCTGCATAGGCTTTTTCAGAGCTTTGAGTGCTCGTATGTTTTAATACATTGTCTAACAACTGCCGCAACTCAATATGATTCTTCTTGAGCACAACAGACTGCTCGAATAATGCCTTGACATGTTTCTGAATTATTAAGTTGTCATCGTCGTACCTTTCTTTAAGCATTTTCCATGCCTCAGGGTAATTCTCATCGGATGCTTCCAGAGAGCTGATAACATTCTTGGCTTCATTCGCCAGGAAAGACATAAGATATTGCATTTTCTGTACGTTTGGCAACGTCGGATTCTCATAGATCATACTCAAGAACATATTTCTAAATGGAATCTATTGTTCACATCTTCCTGAAAAAGTAGGCAACGTAACACATGGTAGTTTTAAATGTTCATTTAGAAAATTACTTCCTTGAGGTGCTGGCGTTCCCTCTCGGTAATTCGGCACATTTGACGTGCTATTATTGTAACGAGATGACTGAGGAGTTCGTGCTGCGGCAATCTTCCCGTCGATCAAGGTTTCCAGCTAAACGGTGATTGCAAAATATCTTTTCTCAAACGTTTCCTTCTCCTCGAGGTGAATCGGCTTGTTTGTTTCTTCAGATTTGAGATCTTTAATTGCTGATTGTATCTCATTGAAAGTCTTCCACAGTTCACTCACCTTTTATAAACGCTGACGTAGTTCAATGATTGACACGTCTGGAACGTTTAGTTTCGATTAAATATGTATCGCATTGCGTAAGACTTTCCTTTACTTGCCTGCGTTTGTCTTTAAATATTTTAAGCCTCGTTGTTACGTCGGTCATTGTGAATTAAGCAGAAATTGTTACTTTCTTAAAAATGTCTAATACTTGAAAAATGTCTAATAATCGCGAGGCCGTTGCACGTAAAATTAATCTTACTCGATATATAACTTCACTCGCGTGCTTCGTAACGACGTCGATCATGGCCGCTACTTCTTGGCTTGTGTCGCCACGCATGCACGAAGGGTTCCTTGTTTTCTTAATGCCGACTTGATGCTTTGAGGTTAAGCACGGACTTATGCTGTCCTTTTTGGCGTATTCGGCTCGAAGGACCAAATATGTTAGTGTCCTCAAGTGTCCCGGTGCTCGGCATGTATTGATAGTCAAGAGACACGGTAGTGTCTCGCGCCCAGTTCGCGACATAGCCGAACGAGGCACACCGTGTATCTTAACGCGAGTCAGACGATTGAGTCTACTATAAATTTCGAATGCACAATAATGGCTGAAGCAATCAAATTTTTACTCGGCTTAATCGGCAATAGATTGAGTTCAAATTATATTATAAAATTATCTTTATTTTTGCTCTACGTGATTTGTAAGCAGAGTATTATTAATGCAAAGTCTAAATAATGAAATTTATGATTAAGAAATGTCTCCGTCGTCATCGCTTAAGTCTTTAATGCGCATGTCCAAGGAGTTGTACGCTTGGAACATTCATCACTAGATTGTGCTAGCGTACACGTTGACGTGCGGGGTTATGTGCACGCATTGATATCTCTTGACATGTACACACATAACAGGTATGTGTCTTTTGATATTTATTTATAATATACTATATTTTTTTATACAATATAACTATTTTCTTGTTACGCAATCATCCTATTATTTTTTTATAAAATTAACAATTATATTTTTATGAAAAAATAATAAGATGATTGCGTAACGAGAAAATAAATTATAATATTATTATGAAAAAATATAGTATATCACATATTATATGGTATTGCAAATCACATGTATTTAGTAAGTATATAAATGCATATTTATATTTTAATATTTGCAACTACTTTCTTGTTACGTTATCATTTTATTAAACTACTTCTTTTATAATAATAACTACTTTCTTGCTACACTATTTCTTTTTTTATAAGTACGTAATTATTGGTGTAAAATAAAGAAGTGATCTTTATTAATGAAATAATAATTTATATACTTATGAAAGATGTAATACGATAGTAGCTTTGCAGAAAATTATTATGAAAGAAATAGTCTGAAATAATGACGTAACATAATAAAAGTAACAAATATCAAAAAGTTGCAAATATCATTATATAAATATATATTTATGAAAGAATATGTTTGTGACATACTAAATATGTGATATGCAATACTGCACATATATGTGATTATATTATGAAAATATTTTTTCATATAATACCTATTTTCTTGTTACGCAATCATCCTATTATTTTTCCATAAAATTAACAATTATATTTATACAAATTTATTGAAATTTCGACCTAACTTGGCTAGTTAGGTCGAAATTTCAATAAATTTGTATGGTTTTACTCATCACTGGCAACTTTATTAATTTTATAATTATATTTATATGTAAGAGTTTTAACAAGGCTCTGTAATATAAATATAAATTTA